ACCTCTGGGGAAGCATAAGGCGCCAGCAAAGCTGGAGGGTCTAGAGGAGAACAGCAGCTGAGGATGGATTCGCTCTCCTGCCTGGGAAAGGGTGGGCAGCACAGGAGACTGGCACTGGGCCTCTGTGAAAGCAGGCCAAGTGGGTGCAGGGAGACAGAGCATGTGTTAGCCCCAACCAAAGCCTCCTTCAGGGGGACAAGGTGGGGTGAGTGGAAACAGCAGAACAGCAAAGACCCGTAACATGTAAAAATGCAACTCGGAATCAACCACAAATGGGGAACACATTTGGCCCCGATTCCAGAGGGCCCGATGGTGGTCAGTTGAAGGAGGGTCCGCTGCATCCCTTGCCTCCCTGCAGCACACCCTGGTGCAAGCTGACTCTGGTGCAGGCTGACCTTGGTGTGAGCTGAAACTGGTACAGGCTGACCGTGAGGGGAGGGCAGAGGTGGGGTACCGGAGAGTGCACAGCCCCAGCTGCACAGTAGCCATCTGGGCACCTGTTGAGCCCCACCCAGGGATACTGACTCAGCTTTGGGCAGGCCTGGGAATTGCTAATTAGCACTTTAAGTAATCTGATGGTGCCAGAAAGATGGCATTTGGCAACCAAGCAGATCACCAAAATTATCTGATAAATATTGTTAAATTTCAGATTCAGAGTTCCTTTCCAAACCTACTGAATCTCATGATATCCTCACACCCATACAACTAAATGCATCATGTTTGAAACCTTTTCCAATCAACTTTCAAGTGGTGCGGGCAGAAAAGAATTTTACCACACCAAGACAGGTCCCAGGGCAGGGCAGTGGCCTGCCTTGGCCAGAGCCCGCATCCCTGTTCCAGCCAGTCCCAGGTCCTCTTCTCTCTCTCTGGAGGCTCCAGGAAGCTCACAGAGGAAAGGAATGCAAGAAATGGGGGAGCAGGTGTGAAAGCATTTCCATGCTCTCAGGTTACAAGTCTACACGGTTACTCACTAAAAGGTGAGTGACTGCTCTCTCCAGGAGATGGAGGACTCTTCCACTTCCTGTCCGTGGGAAGGGCTTTCTAATGTGAAAGTCCATGAATAAGTCGTCTCTAAGCACAGGAGCTGTGTGGAAGCACCTCAATGCTTTATCACAAGCCTCTAGATACATTAACTGTTTCAGATCACAGTTTTAAATACAATATCCATTCAGTGGGGCTGCGGGTAAGCTCAGCCCTGACCCCCACACAGAAGTCACTGTACCAACTGCCACCTGAAGTCCAGGGGAGCCTCGAAGCCAGCCCCTGCATGGGCCCATGAGGCCAGAGATGGTTCGAGCCCTGTCTCTGAAGCTTAACTGCTTGCACGGCATTATCGGCAAGATGTCCTGAAACATGCTTTTCTTCCCTAAAGGAGAATGCCACCTCCTGTTTTGCTGGGTAGTCAGACAAAGAAGAATTGGAAGTAAAACAAAGCTGGCCCTGGTTCAGAGGCAGCATGAAATGAACCAATAATTACTTACACGGCTCTTGCCCTACTCCCCCAGGGAAGGCGCAGTTGGTCTTGGGGAGTGTCAGGATATTGAAGCATCACCAGAAAGGAAACCGGATGTTCCAGCCATGGTGAGAACTGGAGAAGGGCCTCTATGGACAGCAAGCTCACATGCCGTGTAATGTGAAGAGGCCCTGAGCAAGGATGCTGGGTAAAGTACAACATATATGCTTTTTGTTTTTAGGTTTCAGAGTGCAGTTTAATTCTGTGGGTTCCAACAGCTCAGGCATTTTCAGAAACACAAAGTGCCACGTGGGCCTGGAACGTCCTCTAGGTCCACACTGAGGATGGGGCTGTCCGCAGGCAAATGGAACACACAGCACCAGAGACAGGAGTCCCTGGAGGGTCACATGAATGAACCATCTTTCTGTAATTGGCCCCAGAAGCAGGGCGCCCCATCCCATCAATGGCCCCGAGCTTTCAAAATGGCAACCAATTGAACCCCAGGCCCCACACCAAAGTTCCACACAGAGGGAGTTAATACCTGGGAGAAGCTGCCTTCCTTCCACCAAAATAAAATGGCCATAAAATCCAGACCCCTGCAAGTCTAAATGGAACCCTTGCTAAGCAAAACCCTCCATGCCTCAATTTCTTCCATTGTAAAAGGAGATTCATGCTACCTAGCTTCTGGGATTGTGGGGAATAAACTCATACACATGTGTTTGTGTAGATAATGCACCAACTAATTAGTGGCTATTATGAATAAACAGGGAACCCTGACCACCCTGTTACAGGTGGAGGGCATTCATCCACTCATTCATTCATCAAATTTTGACCTCAGGTACAGGAAGATGCAGTTGGTAATTTTTTTCTTCATTATTTTTGAAAAGCAGAGAATTCTAAAAATAGTGAGTTTCACAATTATCTAGCACACCAGTACCACACAGAATTCTCTGCTAAGTTCTCGGCCTCTTAGTTTTTGTTCCTTCTTCGAGAGGGACAGTAACATTTTGCTTATGAGTAATGTCCACTGTGTGTAATGGGTGTCAATTTTGTGTCTTTTATATATAAATACTGTTTTTAGGTGCCAGAGAGTACATCAGTCCTTCTTGGAAATTTAAGCCTGGTTTACTTTTTGATGAGGGAATGATCCCGTAACAGGGTGGTCCCCAGGAAAAGGGGAAGTTCCAGGTTCCCTGCCCCACCCAAGGGAGGGTAGAGCTAAAGAGAGAAGAGATGAAGTTGCAGAGGAGACAGAGAAGGAAGGAAGCAGGATGGAGAACCAGAAGGAGACTTGCAGGGAGCAGAGAGACACATGAAGAAGCTGCACTTGCCTTCTGGTCTTGGACTGGGTGACAAAGATGTGGGTGAGAGACCGGTGGGAGGTGAGAATGGCAGCTTTTATCTTGATTTTGATCCTTTCCTCTCAGACTTGTCTCTCTCCTATAAGACTTTTCTACGGGTCTCCACTGGAAGGTGCTTTAGACGTGTGGCAGGCTTTGGGGCCTTGCTCTGGGCCAATCCTGCTTGGGTGGACTTTTACCCACGAGGAGATGGGTAACTTTGGGTGCTTGATTTAGAATCTAGATTCTTTGCCTTTCCTGTATTGTTTCCTAATTGTATTAAAGTTCCTTTTCATTAAAGTCTCATATGTTTTGCGTTGATGCAGCAGATGGCAGAACCTATTTAGAACAGGCAGGTTTGCGGAGTCTGGGGTGCCGTCTCCCTGCCCTGTAGCAATCCTACCAACATACTGAGAGATTAGTTGGATAAGACTTAATAGGGAGGCATATTTGATTCAAAGAAGGAAACACTTTATAAAATACTCTGCCCATCTGCACCAAACTGAATAGGGTGTGGCCACTCAACAGTTGGAGGCAGACTGTCAAAAGAGTAGGTCACAGGCCAACAGATACTCCAGATTATAAAGAGGAAAAATAGTACTTATGGAGATAGTTAATTTGCAACCCTGAAAATATCACAAAGAACTGTGAGATTAGATAACAGACCTGCAAAGTTTATTGCTAAGTTCTCCATCTCGTAGGAAAAAAAAAGTGTTTTGGATTTTCTCTGAACAAAAAAGTGGAATAGAAAAGAAATAAAGGACTCTCTCTCCTATAAGCCCAGATGCCTTGTGGAAATTATCTACAGATAATTGCCCACTTGCTGCTAATTCTAGGAGGGTCCTCCTAGAATTCATCTTTTGCTCACCTACTCAGAGTTGGAAACTAAGATAATTTTAAGTAAAACGTGAAGAAAAGAATTTAAATTCCACTGCCTTCATATCAAAAACAGCTGATGACCACAAACTGGGATGGCTGCTCAACAACTTGAAAACTAATTCATAAATTAGTGAGTTCAAAACAAAGCAATGGCTTTCATTTAAAAGGGAAGAAAACACTTCTATTCGTCTTAAAGCAAATCACGAGTCTGTCTGGAGCCTTCACTCTCTCTCCACTGTCCTCGTTGCCCAGATGGAAATGGAGACCTAAGGTACAGAAATTCAGCGATTTAACTATTTTCCCTTAAGGCTATTTCCGCCCTCACCCAAGTTGGCTGTCTATTTGTAATTCATCACGGGTCACATTTTTCTGTCTTAGGCACATTCCAGCTGCAGGAGAAGGACCAGATAGAACGCCAGATTCCTGAATTTCTCCAAACCAGACCATCACCACAGTGACTTTGCATAACCATCACAAAATGGGTGATAATAATAAATAATAAAAGTCTTTGTATTTCTACTGATTAAATAAGGGTGTTGCTCCCAACTGCTTATTCACAAGCAATCTCTGGTTAAGACAGAACGGGAGCAACAACACAGGGGTGGGGGTGGGAATGGAGGTGGGGGCGGGATTTTAAAGGAAAGTTTTGCAAGTCACGAAAAACATCCCAGCGTTTTACATAGTTCCAGGCTCGCCGGGAGAATGGAATGCGTTTAAACGACGGAAGGAGAAAGCATGAGCTTGTCTGGATTATCTTGAGGATTTCTTCCCACGCTAAGATTCGATGAGAATCCAGGACTCACAGCACAGCACGGCACGCGCTGCCCTCTGGGTTTGCTAACACGAAAGCGGCGCCCAGAAAGCGGTTTCTTGCTCTGAGACGGGGTTTCCGAGGTGCCGCGCCACCTTGCACCCGCGGGGTGGGAGTCGCCCTCGCAGAAGGGAACGCAGGGAGCCCCGGACCGCGGGTCCGCGCAACGCCCGCGAGGCTGTGGCCGGGGGCCCGTCCCTCCCGGGTCGGCCGCTCGCAGGAATTTAGCCGAGAAACTCAACCTTTAGGATGTGGACACTGGCCTGGTCCTTTCTCACCAAACTTTTCTTTCGTTTGATACTTTTACTTCTGGAATCCCCGCAGTGACAAGCTCGGCAAAGGCCGGGTTCCTGCCCACGGTCCTCGGGGAAGGGATGGGAGCGGTAAGAGGCGGGGAGTGGCGGAGCGCAGCCCCCCGGGACCGCCCGTCTGGCACCGGGCGCACCTGCCGGGAGCCCGCGCCGCTCACCTGCGGCCCCGCGCCCCGCCCCGCGCCCCCCGCGGCGGGGACACTCACCTGAGGCGGCGGCGGGCGGGAGGCGCCTGTAGGCGGCCATGTCCACTCGTCTCGGGTGCGACGGCGGCCGGCTCCAGGGCCGGGGCGCCCCGGGCGGCAGGTAGGCGAAGTCGACCTTCCGTCGGATCGCCACCCGCCTGAAGTTGTAGCCGCTCTCGCCGCTCATCGCGCCGGCAGCTCCTGCGGCGCCGGGTCGGCCGGGCCGAGCGGACACCCGGGCTCCGACTCCTCCGCGGCCGCTCAGCGCGGCGCTCCCGCGGCTTCGCGCTCACCTGCGGCCGCGCTGCAGCGGCGCCCGGGCCGCCCCCGCCCCTGCCCGCAGCCAATCGCGCGCAGGCCCCGGGGGCGGGACGCGGAGCGCTCCAGGTTCAGCTTGTGAGCGCAGCCGCCGCCTCCGCCCGGGAAGCAGCAGCCCGGGACTGGCGGTGCCGAGCGCCGCTTCGGGGCACCGCCTCCAGGCGCTGCCTCCGAGGCCCCGCCCACCGCCCCGCGCCGCGCACCAGCCCCGCCCACACCCGCATAGCCCCGCCCCTAGCCCCGCCCACCGCTCGCCTCGAGTGCGCCCCTCCCGCTCGCCCCGCCCACTCCCAGTCCCTCGCGCCGCGCCCCGCCCCGCCCCGCCCCGCCCCGCCCCGCCCCGCGTGCCGCCTGCCAGTCAAGAGCTCGCGAGCCTGCGCCGCACACCTGGCTTCTTGGACCAAGGTCGGCCTTGCTCACCTGCGGCCCCGCCCTGGCTCCGGGAAGAGACTATGACACCGCTCTGCACCGCCCAGGCGCTTGCGGTCTTCACCGACCCCCTCGCAGAGGGTCGTGCGGGTGCCTCCAGCTGCTGTCCCAGGCCTCTCGAGATCTTATTTATGTCGTTGGACTCCCCGTGACTCAAGCACTTCAGATAAGGCCGCCAAGGTGCGACCTCACTGTGGGGCTAGATCCCCTACCCCAGTCTCTGCGCCAAGGTCTGTCCTGCTCCCAACCATCTCGCCAGGAGCATGGGCCAGAGAGATAGGCTGGGGAGGGGGGAGGGAAAGAAAGGGGAGTCACATACTCTACGGGGTTCCGAGGACCTGCGGATCCCAGATCCCCTGGAAGGCTTCCGGGCCTTTATTAGCAGTGCGCTTTTAATTTAAGCCGAATAAGCAAAATAGTGATTTACTTACCTGCATTTAAAAAATCACTACTCTGTAAAAACCAAGAGACCTTGTCTCTGAGCACAGCGTTAGGAGGGGAAAGGACAGCACAGGCAGGGTCCCCAGCCACCACTCACACCTTGGAAGCCACCCCACTCTTCTCCAGATGCACCAGGCCAGCCCATATCTCCAGCTGCCTGCAGTGTAGCCCACACCCAGTCCTCAAGAAACGCTTTCCCAGGGCAGTTCAGTTGTCTTGGTTTCCTAGGCTGCTACTCCGTGAGGCGTCCCTCCCCAGAAGAAGGAACTAATAGTCCCTAATTTGTAATCCAGCCATTCAGACCAAGTAAGAAATAGCTTTTGTTCCTTGGGATTTATCACGCCTGTGTATGGCACCTGCCTATTGCCTCTTCTATAGAGTTATCCACCACACCATAGAGTGTCCAAACTAATTTGAGCAGGTATTTTCAAATGTAAATAAAAAGGGTTCATCTCCCGGCCTCCCTGGTGGCTCAGGAGTTAAAGTTTCAGCTCTGTCAAGGTATTGCCAGCCACTGCAGCAAGAGTACGATCCCCAGCCAGGAACTGACTCACATGGCACAGCAGACCTCTCCTGTCTCACCCACTGCTCCCCTCAGCAATGGATTTCAGCCAATCCACCTGTTCTGCTCCCCACTCTGTCTCTGATGAATTCTCTCACCCCCTGCACCTCTGGCCTGTACCCCAGTTCTTGTATGCATAACTAAATAAATCTTTAAAAAAAAATAAGATTACTAGGCCTCCCTGGTGGTGCAGGCAGTTGAGCTCAGCGCTGTGAAGCTGTCCACAGCCTCTGCATCGTGGGTTCGATCCCAGCCAGGCTGGAGAGATATCCACATGGTGCAGCAGACCTCTCCTGTCTCGCCCACTGCTCCCCTCAGCAGTGTATTTCAGTACATCTGCCTGTTCTGTTCCCCACTCTGTCTCTGATAAATCCTCTCACCCTCCCACACATTTGGCCTGTACCCTGGTTCTTGTATGCATGAATAAATAAATCTTTTTAAAAAGATTACTAATAAAATTTACTGGTTACTGATTAAACTTACAGGAATCACTCTGCCACCCCCCCACCACCACCACACACAGAAATACTCTTCTCAATAGATGCTCACTCAGCAGAACTGCAGCCCACACACCTATGCAGGTATCTTGCCATGATGTCGGGAAACAGAGGTGGTATGCTTCTCCACTTCAATATTTCAACTTGTATTTGTATTGCACATGTCTGTTTCTTTCTTGGTTTAAGTTGTTTCATATTTTCCTGATTAGTTCACATCAGCAAACATCTGTGTATTCAGATGGAATGTTTTATAACATGTACATCCTCTGACGTTTCTCTTGATGTTGCTGCCACACATTTTTTGATAGAAACCACTTCTAAGGATAACTGCGTTTTGCAACATTCAATGAGTGTGTGAACAGAACTTTATTTGATCTCAACTTATCTGAGGCCAGAGTATATAACAAAATAGTGAAGATCATTGCTATACAGAGTTTTAACACACTATTTTATTTGCTAGTGTAGCTAATAGGAAGTTGGCTGCCACTTCAGCCACACTGAGTGAGAATTATGCTCGGTCCTGCAATATGGTGAGGTGTGCAGTACACAGGGGCCCACACCCACCCCTCGTGGCTGAGCCGATGCTGAGCACTGACCACATCCTGGGCCCGCCTCCCTGGGCTTGCAAGGGGACTGGTTAATTTTCCCTTGTAGTTAGGTGGTCTCATGCAAGTGTAACCTCCAAAATGTTGTGGACAAAAGTGATATGGGTCTTCTGCTGGCCTGGCTTAGCTCCCTCTCCATAAAATTCTCTACTCTTCTCTTCCTGTCTTTTGGAGATGAGGGGGTGATCAGGAACCTGGAGCCCTAGACCAGGGTGGAGAGTAGCCGAGAACAGGAATGAGCATACCAGATCAGACTAGGAAAATGAGTAGGAAGATTACGGACAGATTCACGCCCCTTAAATTTTATCTACATATTTTGCCAGGTAGCAAAAATGATATATCCAGTGTTGTGTCTTTTAATTCTAACAAACATGTTTTAAACAAACCTTCCATTTAACTTTAATATTAAATTAATCCATCCATTAATCCAATATTAAATTGGATCCATCTAGGACCCAAGAAACTAGATAATACCAAAAAAGAATATTCAGTGGAAAATTATGATTTAAGCAGATGATTCAACTACTAATAGAATATCTCTTCCTGGGCCTCCCTGGTGGCGCAAGGGGTTAAGATGCAACCTATGAAGCTGTCCACAGTCACTGCAGCATGAATGAGTTCAATCCCCGGCCAGGGAGCTACCCACGTGGTGCAGCAGACCTCTCCTGTCTCATCCACTGCCACCCCTGAGCAGTGCATTTCCATCAGTCTGCCTGTTTTGTTCCCCACTGTGTCTCTGGTGAATCCTCTCACTCCCTACACCTCTGGCCTGTACCCCAGTTCTTGTATGCATAAGTAAATCTTTAAAAAAAATAATAGAACATCCCTTCCAGAACTAAAGTTTAGAGAAATTGAAACATTGCAGCAGATTCTCTTACTTAAAGCTTATTAGATTCTCTTACTTTAAGCTTAGAGATTTTTTAGAGATTAGAGATTAAGCTTAGAGGTTTTTTTATTAAAAAATCCTCACTTTAATAATAAATTATTTCCTCAGTAACATAAAAAAATTCTCACTTTAATAATAAATTGTTATTTCCTCAGTAACATGAATTATAAATGTATTATCATTTACTTTGAAGCTGTCAAGGGGTAGGGATTTATATAAATGTCATAAAAGCAATAAAGGTCGCGAAAAGGTATGAATCTTCCTGACTTCACATAGAAATATTAGGGGCTTGACAATAGACAATAAATTCACGAGGCCCTAGCTAAAAAGGATACCTTTTAACAGGAACTTCAAAGTGGTATGCTAGGGCCTCCCTGATGGTGCAGGTGGTTGAGCACCGCACTATGAAGCTGCCTACAGCCTCTGCAGCACCGAGTCGATCCCAGCTGGCCAGGGAGAAACCCACATGGCGCAGCAGACCTCTCCTGTCTCGCCTGCTGCTCCCCTCAGCAGTGTATTTCGTCAGTCTGCCTGTTCTGTTCCCCGCTCTGTCTCTGGTGAATCCTCTCACCTTTCCGCACATCTGGCCTGTACCCTGGTTCTTGTGTAAATAAATAAATCTTTAAAAAAAAGTGATATGTTATTTTGAGTGGGAATAGGTTGAGATTTCAATAAAGTATCACATATATGTATAATTTGATATCTGATTGTATAATTTCTAACATGTTGAATTAATTTCTATGTCTATTATTTGACCACACACTGCCTATATTAATGACCTTTGTAAAAAGGTATTTTTTAAAGATTTATTTTATTTATTTATTTATGCATACAAGAACTGGGGTGTAGGCCAGAGTTGAGAGGGGTGAGAGGATTCACCAGAGACAGTGGGGAACAGAACAGGCAGATCTACTGAAATACACTGCTGAGGGGAGCAGCAGGTGAGACAGGAGAGGTCTGCTGCACCATGTGTGGGTTAGCTCCCTGGCTGGGGGTTGAACTTGTACTGCAATAGATGCTGATAGCTTGATAGTGCTGAGACTTAACCCCTTGTGCCACTAGGGAGGCCTCAAAAGGCATTTATATAGGTGTTTGTAAAAACGCACACACAAACACACATACTTCCTGGAAAATTTGCACGAATTTGAGATGCTGTCACTGTTCAAGTTTACCTTTCATATAAATGGACCCTTATTGGTCTCTAATAGGAAGTGACCGGTCAGTGTCCCTTAGCAGTCATTTGGAAATTGGAAGAAAGCAGTGACCCCCTAGAGCACACAGACCCTGGCATTATACAGCTTAGGTGCCATGCCTCAGGAAAGGGGCTCCTGGCTTGACCTTCAGGAAGTCAGGATTAAGGAAAGAGGAGAGATAAGGAACTGGCATGTAGAGGGATAAAAAGTTAGTCTAGTGGAAAGAACAGGAACATCAACAAGAGACAGAGAGACA